TGTTTAGGTTAATATTATTATGTATCCTGCACATCTCCGTGGAGCTCACACACGTTTAGGTACATTAATCAAACAGAAACTGTGTTTGTGTGGTATTGTGTAGTTATTGTCGGGGTCGTTGAATAGAGCACTATTATATTTTAGAAAATAAATCAGAATAATCTAAAATAGGTCAATGGACAAAAAAAAAAAACCACAATCACTTCAACCACCGCACATAATATCGCTGTATGATAATAATGTGATCTATTCAGACAGTAAACCAATCAATGATCTATGCGACGACGAAGACATAATATATAGTAACAATACTCGATGCAATTTACTATTCATTTATGTGTAGAAGTATAATAGTATATGTAATACTGTACACACTATACTAATACAACGCAATATTATATTTATGTATAAGCACACAATGTACATAATATATTTATTTTGTGTGTGTTTTCATATTGTAAGACAGTAATATCCCTTTATATGTTTATTTATAACAAACGGTAAGTAATATGCGCTGTGAGATAGATGATATCTTTTGCAAGTAAAAACTTTTCCAGGTATTCGAGTAAGTATATGATGTACCTATATAATATTTATTTTATAGTGTATAGGTATGTTTGTTATTGGTTCTTCGGGACAAAACCCTTGCCGGTTCCAACCGTATAGTCCTGGTCCGCGTGCAGTCTATCAAAAATCAAAATTCAATGAAAGACCTATTGATGGACGGTATCAGTATAATAATATATACATAATGTGTATGTATTGTAGGGTAGGTATACAACCTACCTTACCAACCTAAGGCAAATGAACGTAACTATGTATATTATTAATAACATTACTGACTATAATAGTGACTGATCAAATATTGTTAGGTAAATGGGTTTTATTCTGTAATAAAGATTATTTTTATTATTATTATTATTATATTATTCGAATTGAAATCATTCAAAATGTTTTCCAAAAAATCGTTTTGAACCAAGTTTCAAAGGATAGGAAACTTTTTGTTTTGACGACGATCTAACGGGTTTATACAGCTACTAGTATACCTAATAATTTATTTTATAGTGTATAGGTATGTTTGTAATTGATTCTTCGGGACAAAACCCTTGCCGGTTCCAACCGTATAGTCCTGGTCCGCGTGTAGTCTATCAAAAATCAAAATTCAATGAAAGACCTATTGATGGACGGTATCAGTGTAATAATATATACATAATGTGTATGTATTGTAGGGTAGGTATTAAACAACCTACCTTACCGACCTAAGGCAAATGAACGTAACTATGTATATTATTAATAACATTACTGACTATAATAGTGACTGATCAAATATTGTTAGGTAAATGGGTTTTATTCTGTAATAAAGATTATTATTATTATATTATTCGAATTGAAATCATTCAAAATGTTTTCCAAAAAATCGTTTTGAACCAAGTTTCAAAGGATAGGTACTTTTTGTTTTGACGACGATCTAACGGGTTTATACAGCTACTAGTATGTTTTGAACTAAGCTAAGTAGAGTCGTCAACGTAATGTTTAATGAACCCAGCTTATGAGTATTGTAATAAGTTTCAAGTAAAACAGAACAATAACCATAAAGACATTAAGCTCTGACATTTAATTTTACATTTCATAGGCGAGTGAATGCATGGTATCATAATTTAAGTTCACCCGTTTTCAGACATTAAAATTTTTTCCAGTTTTGTGTAAAAAAATTATATTTAACTCAACATATTATAGAAAAATAATATTATTAATTATCAGTTTATCCTAAAATAGTTAAAAAAATATCCATGTTTATATTTAATTCATCGATATTTTGAAAAGGGAATTCGGAACGTATAATATATAGGTATAGGGATTTTATAAATATTTAAAATTTAAATGAGGCTGTACTCCCACCACGTATTTAGGCCGTATTAATGTCTTTTAGCCCGAACCATGAAATTGTATTTAAATACAAAATTAAATGGTAATTCTAGAAAGAATTTGTAGATTGTAAAATATCAAATGAAAATATTTGAAGTTCTTGTGGAATGAACACTAAACAATAATAATATTAATTTTAATATAGTACAGTCAATATACAGTATATCAAGGTTAATTTATGAAATTTTATCTAACGATATGAAATATTTTAAAACTGTTGTAATATTATAACGGATGTCACAAATGTTTCAACTTGTATATTCGTTTCTAAATTATTTTCATAAGCAACATTATTAAATAGGTATTACGCATTTATTTTGATTCTAACAAACGTATACATGAGTATTTTTTCTATCTGTAACTTAATTATTATTAGCTTTCAATAAAAATTGCATATATTATTTTCTTTTCAATTTATTTCAGTGATTTTATGGGTACTGAAGAACTTTATACCGTCTAGTACTTTATAAATTCAATAAATATAACTTGTATGTGATTTAAATGTTCTAATGTAATTAAATTTATGAGGTACTGTGGTGGCATACTATAGTAAGACTCTAGTGGAATATTTTATTTAAATTTAATTTTCAGAAACAGGTGCATTGTACATAAAATACAATTTTGATATTCTAAAAAATAAATAAATATAAACTTATTTTTTATATTTATTTATAATAACGCAAATATCCAGTATTTATGAAGTTTATTATGTATTTATTTCTTAGAAAGTATTAAAACTAACCATAATTTCTAAAATATTTCTCTAAATAATATATTATTATCTATTATAAATTAATTTTTAGATTTAGTTGATGTTTTTTTTTTGCCTCTTATTTATGTCTGAAATAAGTGGTAAGTTTTATGCAAATACAATAGTCCTTTGAAATTTTCATCAAATATTTATATTATTTGTAATAATTTTGAAATATTTTGACTCATATTGAGATAGTTGTAGCCTTGAGAAATTTTTAAATATTTGTAAATTTTTTAAATTTTTTCAAATTATTTAAACTTTTTCTCATTGTAAAAAAGCTTGAAAATTGTATACAAGGTTCCTCATAAGTTTCATTAATGTAAGTTTAAAAATATTTAATATACTCATAGACATGGTTGTTTTTTATATGCGTTTAAAGTTCAAATGTTGACAAAATTCATCGAAATTTCTAAAATTTGCAAACTATTTTTCAGTTAGAAATTCATAATAGTTTTTCCTTTTATAAAGCTAATATTACAAATTTTGATAGAATACTCTCCACAAATGTTCCTACCTTAAACAAAAAATAATTTTTACCGGAAAGTAACATTAATTTTTTATGAACATTTGAACTTAACATTTTTACGATATTTTCTTCGATAAATTAACGTATTTTCATCTATTAATTTTTGATATTTTATTGTAATTCAAAAACGAATAATCCTAGATACTTGAAATTTTAACCAAATGTTAAAATTATCATTTTTCATATATGGTATTATTTTCAAATAATTTTGACTCTTTCGAGCTATTTATACCCATAAGACATTTTTAAAAGTCGTAAATTCTTTTTCAGTTTAAAGTGCATAAAAGTTTTTCTTTTCATACCTAAGATTAAAATTTTAATAGAAGATTTCATATAATTTTTCCTACGTATAACAAAAAATGTATTTAAACGAAACATTAATTTTTTGAATTTATAATTTTTACGATATTTGATCTTCAGCGGTAAATGATTGAATTAATACATTTTTGATATTTTGTTGTATTTCCAAAACGAAAAACCGAATGCTCTTGAAACGTTCACCAATTATTTATATTAGCATTTTCCATACATGGTAAGTGGAAAACTTTTTCTATTATTAATACTAAAAATATTGTATGCAAAAAATCTTAATGCAATACAGACATACAGTGCCCATAGGTTTGTAAAATCTAAATAATTATGTCTATTATTTTATATAAAGTTGTAATTTAATACGACTTGCCATAATTGTTCTACAGCTACCAATTAATATTATATACCTTCAATAATACGATCATAATGATATGTTGCTGAACTACTGTCACTCTGTATAATATTTATAATCGTAGGTACTAGAATATTATATAAATCGTGTACATCATTATAATCAGTCGATTTTTTTTTTACTTTACAGACATAATTATTATATTATCAGCTTTCGAGTTTCGACATGTGTTTTCTATTTCAATTAAAATGGACAGTCTTGACATATAGGTAATATAGTTATTATTTGTTAGACTTAATACTGATTGGCAGCAATGATATACTTTTTATTTTAATATACGTTGTAGAACTTTATATTAAGTTAGGTCCCTATGGAGGGTGACATCCTAGATTGTGACATCAGCGCAAAATATAGGTATATGAAAAAATATCATTTGCACCAATATTTATATTTTATATTTTTTTTAAATATTGAAAATCGTCAATAATCTATTATAATATTATTAAGATTGTTAAAATCTATATTTTCGTTCATTAAACGAAATTCATATGACTCCTTTACATACTCAACATTTTCCTGTACAATTAGCCTAACTAACCTAACCACGGTGTAGATGTGTATGGCTCACGCCATTGATACTAAAATTGTTCCTACTATTGTTCCTACTAAATATATAATGTTATCACACAACAACTCTGACGCTCTATCGTAATCAGATATACCTCATACAGCCATACCTTAAATACATTTGTCGATTAAAATTATACTTTTGGAATTATTGTATTTTTAACGGCAATATAGTTCTAAATTTAATAACCGAAACGAAGCACACGCAGATGGTCTCTGTGTTTTGGGTGCTTTTATACGATCCATTTTTTTTCTCGTCCGCCGTTTTGATGGTTACTTCCCCCACGGCTGGGTCGTAATTGTACCCCCCCCCCCACCTTGGCCAGCGTTGACATTCATATTTTTGAGGGTTAGAAATATTATATTATCATTCATTAACCATCTGCAGTGGTGTGACTGATAAATGTGTGAAATAATAATATGACCGTAGCGCCCCTACAATAAAACAGTTCTAGGTGCACCTCTGCAGTGAGTCTGGTTATGTACTCGAAATAATATTATACCTTAAACATGACGATTCGGTTTTCGTTGTTGTTATGATGTTTCGGCGTGTTTGGCTCACTGGAAGATCGGTTTTTGTTGACCAGCAATGGATAGTTACTGCTCAAAGACGAGTCCGAACTCTGTCTGCTGCAGTATTGGCAACGGCGCTGGGCCAACCGGAACGTAACGCTCTCGTATCGCGTACAACGCTCTGATCCGTTTATCTGAAAAAAAAAAATGATAAAAAAAATTGTAAATTTTTTGCCGGTCATACGATTTTGTGTTAAAATTATTTCCGAACGAACACGACGATTCCCAAAAATAGCAAAAGGTGTTTTCGTTGCCATCAGATATAATACAATAACCGATTAATAAGAATACTATGTCAAAAACTATACTGGTTTTCGGGCCCCCCATTGTTATAATTAATTGCTAATAATTATAAAAATTTTACCTTAAGTTCTAGATGAAACAGACTTTTAAAATCAATCAACAAAAAATGTGTGTACATCTGTATAAATTACTGCCAACCTATCGATAAAAGTTATGATTAGAACCAATTAGACTATTTGAATTTCAAATTATGAGCGTTGCACAAGCTTTTTACTGTATTTGTAAAAGCAATATTTTAGATTCTGACCGGAGCGAGGATCTAGTGGTTTTACACTGGTGTTTATTTACAAAATATCTACCAGAATAAGATTTCAACATATAGTACCAAATTGGATAAAGATGGTACCTACTTAGGAAGGTCATTTTTCGAATTTCTCAATAGTTATTTAATTCCACAGGAGAAACCACCGACAAAGTACGAAAAACCGCTAAAAATGGGAATAATACCTATTATAATATAAATTCGACTTGCAGGATATAATAAATAATAACAATATCCAGACTGACAAACCGTCTCCGCTCAGAATCGTTTTTCTTATACAATGATATTACCTATATCATTGAATTCAAGTTTAATACAACTCTTTATACATTGACCCACTTGTAACCTACTGTACAGCAGAGCAACATCCACTTCCCAACTTTTTTTAGATTCTGAGTGAAACGATGAATGTATTGATTTTACAATGATGTGTGTTTTTTTATTTTTTTTTTTTTTATTTTTTTTTTATTTTTTTATTTTTTTTTGTGTCTGTCATCACGTTTTAGGACAGTAAAAGTGCTTGGATTTTCTTCATCAGTAGCTTTTCTGATAGGAAAGTGAATCTAGTTGGTACTTTGGGGGGTCAAAAGTATAAATTTCCCAGTAGTTTTCACAAGCGCCGGGAAAAACAACATAAAAATTAAGGAAAAACGGGAATTTTTACGCAAAATTGGTTTTCCAAAAAATCGATTTTGGTTTTTGGTGTAACTCTGAAACAAATGAACGTATATACATGAAATTTTCACTGGTTGTTTATATTTGCATTTTCTATACATGATAACATTTTCAAAATATTTTGATTTATTTTGAACTGTTTAGGGACATTTTCATTTTCCATTTTTTTTTAGTTTTTTTTCTAAAAATATCAATAAAATTTTATTTGTTGGTTGCGAAAGCTTGAAAATTTAATAGAAGGCTCCTAATATATTGTTTCAAAGGCAGATGAAAAATATTAAAAATCCTTAGTCACATATTTTTTTTATAAGCATTTAAAGTTCAAAAATTGACAAAATATGGGAAAATCACGAAAATTAGCAAATTATTTTGAGTTAAGAATTCGTAAAAATTTTTCTTTTTAAATCTAAGATTTGAAAATTAAACACAAGATTCCTTATAAGTTTGTCTACCTTTATCAAAAGAAAAATGTCTATAAGAAAGTCAAATTAAATTTTTATGAGCGTTTGAAATTCAAATTTTTACAACATTGAATATTCACTCGATTTCCCATGTAGCGATTTCCTTATTTTGTTGTAATTCAAAAACAAATAACTGTAGATACATGAAAATTTCACTGAATGTTTATATTAGCATTTCCTATACACCATACAATTTTGAAAATATTTTGACTCTTTTTGAGCTGTTTATGGACCTTTACAGCTTTCATTTTTTTTTAGTTTTTTTTTCTATAAATATCAATAAAGTTTTATCTGTTGGGCCAAAAAGTGTAAAAATTTAATACAAGGCTCCTGATATATTGTTACAATATCAGTTGAAAAATATTAAAAATACATAGGCACAGTTTTTTTTTATAAGCATTCAAAGATCAAATTTTGACAAAATTTATCAAAATCTCGAAAATTATCAATCATTGTAATTAATAAATTATAAAATGTTCAGTTTTTATAGCTAAGGATTGCAAATTCAACACAAAGGTTCTCGTAAATAGTTCATACTGTAACCAAAAAATCTAAAAAATATATGAACACACTTATTTTTTACAGACATTTTAAATTCAAATTTGGACGAAATTACATATTAAAAAACCTAGAATAACTATTTTAGTTATTTTGTTGTGATTGAATAATATTATTCGTGGATACTTGAAACTTCTAAACTGTACTATTATATATCTATGATAGTATCACGGTTTTTGTTGATGTATAACGCGTTATAAGTACCTAATGGATATTTTGATATGATTAATTTGGAATTTATTATAGGTACCCATTATAGGTCAATTTTTTGTTTAATACCATAGATATGTATATAATATGCCTTATACATAGACTGACATACCGGTCCTTTCATACCATCCTTTTTTTGAATGGAAATAGGTAAGCTGGGCGCAATCGTGGTTCACCGGACATACCGTCACCGCTCAGAATCGTTTTTCTTATACAATGATATTATATCGTTGAATTCAAATTTAATATCATACATTATACAGTGACCCACTTGTAACCTACTGTACAGCAGAGCGACACCCACTTGCCCACCTTTTTTTTTTTAACGTGATTCCGGTTATGTCTTGTATAATTTTAAAACTTGATTTTAGCGAAGATCACAACGGTTTAAGATTAATACGAATTGATTAAGAATTAATTAAATGTTGATACTTTTAATAATTGTTATCATTTATATGTCACATATTTTTTTAACCACATTCGGTTCCTATACTACGAAACCTTGATTTACATTTAATAAACTTATTTATAGCTTTTAGAACCTACTACGGGTCGTAAAATTATACACTTTGAGTATTATATTTTATCTTATACATAAAAATTACAATTTTAATGTTAGTTTTGAGAAAATATTACAAATTTGTCATACTTAATTTTATCACAAGAAAAGTTTTTAAATTAAATACTTTTATATCAACGAAAAAAGAGTAGCCACGACCTTTAATAAAATCCATTAAAATGTACATATTATAAAATATGGGAAAGTTATAAATATAAAATATAAATTATGTTTTTAGTAAATATATAACCCATTTATGGAGTACCTAATCCGTCCTATTATCTCTTTTGTTTTTGCTTTCATTTATAAGTACTGAAAAACTATAACTTTTCCATATTCTGTGAACACTGATTTATCTAGGTAAAATATGATTTCATTTTTGATAAATTTAAGTAAATTTGTATATTTTAAATTCAAGTATTTATATAACAACCAAAAATTACATCTTATCTAAAGAACAAATTGATAAAAAATAAAATCTTTTGTTTTATAGTATGACGCCCATACTAGATATTAATAAAAGAACTCATAGAAATATAGATACAGATGGACTGATGAGAATACAGTGTAGGAAATTATAAAAAAAATAATAGTTTTGTAATTAGTTTAGAGTTCTAAGAAAAATTGGTAGCTATTGTTTAAATGTATAACGCTAACTATGAAACCTATTATACCTACCTACCCTTAATTACTACAGCAAATGAACACCTTCATGCTGTGCTGGAATATTTAAATTTACATAATATTATAATGTAGCCTTCGATACTTATTATTAAAATTAGTATTCATTTATTACATAATATTAATTTAATTTATGTATTTGTTTTAATAAAAATAAAGTTCAAGGTAGATAATCGTTTTGCCTAGTTCCACATTCTTTAATTTATTTTTTCAAACGCTGACAATTTAATCTATTAAAAACCTCACAGGTACCTACAATCATCTAATTAATAAAAAACAAAATGTAATTACTTCTTTCACCGTATCAGTTCTCTGTAAGGTTTCATACGTACACGCCCTCGAGTGGGACAATAAAGTCAGGAAAAACAGAATTAACATGTCAGATTTTTAATTTATGAAATAGCAGTGATCTCCGAGTCTAGATTTGAAGAAGGATAATTATTATGTACAATATAGTGAAATCGTGATTTTAGGTCAGACAGCTGTGACCGATGATGGAAGACTGAACGTTTTATGCATATAACTACATCGACCGTAATTAATGGTTTTTTTTTTTTTTTTTAATAAGACACGAAAGGACGACCTTTCTGGCTTTCTGTCGTTATAGCATTTACCAATATAATATTATGCTCCAAAAAATGAAATTGATTGGACAACACTGCGGATAGATCTACACCACAACTGAATATTTCAAAAACTGCAGTAAACCATTATAAGGTCGTATACGAAAAATGTCTCGTAAAAGTGTTATTTTTTTAGTTTTAGTGTACAGAGAAAAAAAAACACAAAATAAATATACGTGGCTCAGTCTTAGTAGGTACCTATAGTGGCTTTTAGATATCAGATTTTGGACGTGAATACAATCAATATACTATATAAAAACATTTTTCATGTACGACGGCAATTAAAATAATAAATGGGACATTCAAAGCCAGGTAATACCTGTATGTACGACGTATTAAAGTATATTCGTAAATATGTGTATAGCTAACACAACAAAGAACGACGGTGTATTAAGTATAAATTACCATATTAATATATTAATATGTTCATTAATTATCATTATATTTTATTATTCAATATAATATATTCGGAAATGAGTAACCCATAAAATATGCACTGTACCTATTGAATAATACATACCGTATTATGATCATAGATATATTATATTATGTAGGTATACGATAGGAAAATTACAAATTTAATATCGTTATTTTTCCTTTGACGTTGATTACATATTATACACCGTTAATCCTGTGGGTATTACATGCTAATCGGATGCAAACATTGTAGTGGCGTTTTAATATAATTATTCCCAGATACTTAATCGAAATCTGTTAACAAATGTTTGCACACTGTGCGATACGCTTTAAATGTATACCTACTAGGCACCGGAGGGTAATGAAGCTTTTCACGTGAGTGAAATAAAAATCTAATGGAGTAGTAAGTCGGCGGTGAACAATAAAGGAAAAGTATTGGTTTGTCGTTTCGATCACAAACAGAAATAATTAAAAAAGTTTTAAAAAGACAAAATATATTACCTAGGTACATAAATAGCCCACCCATAAAGGTGTATATTTCACTCGCAATATAATATGGACGACGGAGTTTATTTACTGTTGAACATATTGTAAAGAATTCCGATGAATTCGTTTTGCTTCTAAAATTATATCACTGAGGCTTAAATTCAATTTTGCTTACGAGATGGTTGAAAATGCATTATGCAATTTAGATTCATTTATTACATAATCGAATGAGAGGTTCAAACTTTATAATATATCAAAAATAAAATATACGTTTAGGCAGCTGACGATTTCAGATGACAAATACCAATAAATATTTCAATGACATGTTTATAAATGGAATAAATTAACATAATAAACTCACAAATTATAAGTTGTGTAATATATTTATATGAGCCCTATATATAGTTTATGGTTATATATTTTCTACATAAAACTTAGTTGAAAAAGAAAACTTTAGAAACTTGATTAAAAAAAATACGAACATCTTGATTAGTAATAATATGTAAGTTAGAATTCAATAAAAACTCCAAGTAATAAACATTTTATGGTATTCAGAATATATTCCATAAATTTCAAAAATCAGAATAAATAAATAAAAATTGTGAAGCGTACCTATACTAAAAAAAAACTGTACATACAAATAGTATGATAATTTGTCAACCCCTTGTGGTGTGAAAAATCGATGAGGTTTCATAACAAAATCACACAAAACTACATTCTGATCAATGAAAAAAATAGGGAGGAGGTGTGCTTCATAAAATATTTTAATGTTTCCAAACTAATTCTGGAAAGGGTACATATCATCACGTATTTCAGATAAAAAAGGGTACCTTTATCAAATATTTACTTTATTTAACAAAATACTTATACCTACTTCATTTTTACTAAAGAAAACTAATTATAGTGGTATAAATTTGAGACGATTAATTTGTCAAATATTATAACAGATTATGAAAAATAGTAACTGCAATATGGGTACATAGAAGTGTATCGTACAATAATAACACAACGTTGTATTAGGTAGATGTATAGTCATTTTGGTGAACTGAAATTGAATAACTAGGAAATCACAGACAATTTGGATTTGAATTTGAGTGCATTAAAATGCCTACAAAACCGTAATCAGCTTAACGTTCAAATTGAAACTCCTCAAACGGTATAAAAATAGACACAAGGTCTTAAATTTGACTTAAAATTGGCCGAAAAATCAGAATTTGAATAAACACGCAGCATAAAATCGGGTTATGGTGGGCGGGCTTGATCTTGTGCAGGTGAATCCCTCTGCTTGATTAAATGGAAATCACCTCGGGATTATGGACTTACGGGCCAAGTGACTTACCGGGTTGTACGTGGCGACAAAGTCGGCGGGCGGCGGCGTGACCGAGTCGAACGAGTGTTGGCACTCGACTGACGACATGCGGAAACTGTGCACCGACACGCTGTCGGCCTGGTGGGCCGTCATGAGCCGGTGCTGCTGGTGGTCGGTGATGGCCGCCTTGGCCGCGGCCGACTCGCGCAACCGCTTCCGGCTGCACACCACCCGCAGCATTTCCTTCCGGAAAGCGTCGTTCCGGAACACGTACACGAGCGGGTTGAGCGTGGCCGCGGACAGGGCGCACGTGTACACCACCTCGTCCGGCAGCTGGACGATGGACACGTGCACGAACAGCGGCGTCCAGCTGAACAGGTACGTGGACAGCACCATCATGGACGTCTTCATGGCCCTGCTCTCCTCGCGGAACAGCAGCGCCGAGAAAATGGCGTTCGAGTTGCGCCGCGACAGGTCCGGTTCCGTGCACACGCTGTGCTTGCGCGTCCGCAGACTGTTCCTGAAGCACACCATAGACACGCGCGGTTAGGGCTTTCTGTGTACTGTTACTATATTTAAGTCATACTGTAAGGCAGGGGTCACCGATTAGTGTTTTTGGAGGGCCGCATTGGGAATTTTGAACATTTTCGGGGGCCATCAAAATTCAAAGCAAATACTCTCAACTTACTATAGTATAATGCAAAAGTAACATAGTGGCCTAGTGGAAATAAAATAATAATCACCTAATTAACTAAATTAAAATAAAATAAAGTACAAATTAATCCCACACTTAATATAAATAGAAAATTGGGTTAAAATTATTTGAGAAAATGGCAATACTTGCTCTCAACTAACTGCATGCAATTTGGTGTATGATTCTTATACTTAATATTTTATATGCAGGTTCACAATTTTTGATTTACGAAGATCACAAATTACTGGACATTTTTTGGCAATTGATTTATGTGAAGTCTCATAATAATATTGAAAACTTTAAAAACGGCTACTGTCTGGTGGCAAATAAAACAAACTGGCAAGGCCCTTGGTAATACCTATATGTACTTTATTATCGGTTTTTACTTTTTTTTCATTATCTGCTGGCCGCCATTTAGTGATCGCTGCTGTAAGGAAAGGGCAGCTCATAAATGTGTCCTAGGCCGTTGTAATAATATCGAGATAATAATGTTGTCCAAGTTAAAAAAAAAAGTACCTTTCACTGCTTCGGATTATCAAATTTCAATAATTTTTTACATTGATTTCGTATGATATTATAACGAACTAGGGAACTCTCATTTAAAACTTAACCTATTTTAAATCTCGACTTTGTTTAAAATATGTTGAAGACATAAACATAGAAAAGTTTTTTTATATATTCGTGAGATACCTGAATATTACTTTTTACGTAATATCAATTATTATTATTATACTTAAATGGTTATGTATTTCAATCCAACAACTAAATGATAGATGTATTGTTAAATTTTATTTATTTTACCTAAATAACCCTATGCGTATAAACAGAGTACATTCAAACATTAAAATATGTTATATATTTTTTGTATTGTTATTGATTTGTTCAAATGGAGATTATATTTTTACCAATCGGGCCGTTTTCTTCTAAACTATTTTTAGAAGTTCACCACATATTATAAACAATTATGCATACTGAGTGATGTATTTCGTTGGCTCCTCTTGACTTTGTCAAGTCAATTTTTGTGATTTTAAAAAAAATTGTTTGTATAGGTATAGTTTGAACTTTGAAGTGTTCATATTGTACAAACACTATGTATTTTTATTAAGTACCTACACTAAACTGTTTTTTTTTTTGTAAATTTACCCACAGAAGAGAGAATATTATACATTAAAACCAACATAATACATAATATATATTGTGATACTGCACGACTTTGGCCGTCTGACTTGTTGTTCGAAACCAATCAACGGTGAGTGGCCACATATAATAAAATTATATACCAGCTGTGTTAAAGGTTCCATCTATACAACTACAGTCGCCGCAAGAAACATTTCAAGCTGTTTTTTATTTTATTTATTTTTTTACAACCGAAAAAAGAGTTAAGCGAAAAATAAAAGCGTCGTCGTCGAAAAGCCTGCAATCTATGAAACTAAAAATCGTGCGGGGGCCCACCCTGGTCGATGGTTCATCTTATACTCGAGGGTACAATGCGGCGGCGATCGTGTCCAAAACGACTATAAATACCATATAAAATATATATATATGTATTGCAAACGTTTTTTTTTTTCCATAAGCGAAATTTAGCTAGAACAAAGTGTGGCACGAGTGTCGTTAAAGTCTGATCTCAGTGTTGCTGTAGTAGTTGTGTACTCAATACGGAAATCGCAGAAACAGTAGGGTAACTCGATTATCATTTAAAACATTCTATCCGAAACACATTTGTAAACACATTAAAATAGTATTACGGTGGCAAAAAGTTTACTCATCCGTCCGGAACTGCGCGCATGCGTAATGCACCTGCAGCGGTATGCGAAGGTTCTGTAGATACTTGTATGAGTAATAGGAATAATACCTGACTTGAGTTTGTTTCAATAATATAATTGGGTAGAAAAAGGTTAAAGCGGGAAAACGGATGGCCTAAGCGCCGGGCATGGGCTATTTTACTGTCGTTAAACAAGTGCCGAATCTCCGGCGCATATGATCCATTCGAAAAGTATTATACGTACAATAGGTATAGAATGGCCTCTATTATAATACTGCATGACAACAGACTTACACTTTACATTAGTACACGACAGAATTATACTATGGTTTACGGTATAAAGCGATTGAAAATTACAAGCGTTTAATATATTAAATATATATATATATATATTTAATATATTAGGTATTATTATTGTTTTTTTTTGTTCATTAATTAACCCGAGGCAACTTAGGCCAATGGGTGGTTTTTAATTGCGGGGGAGGGTACTGTAGGTTTTGAACACGTGTGTGTGTTTGTTTTGGCAGAACTTTGAAGTGGGCACTTGTAGGTATCTGCTATGCCCGGGTGGGGGACTCTCTTTCCAGACACCATGATTGCTCGAATAGAAGTGCCGCCCGTGGCCGAGGTTCGAACCGGCAACGGTGCGCGTCGCGACCGACGCCTTAGTCCGCTCGGCCACTCCGTCCCCATTATTATTGTCATTATTATAATACAGTATAGGTATTCCGGACAAGCGATTGCGACCCGATTCAAATAGCCCTATGTGGTGTTCCAAATATAAGTATCCCGAACGCGTCCTAACAATTGTTGGTTCACAAAATAAAGTTTATATTTAAAAACTACATATTATACATCATTTCACCAAATATCAAATTTTAACTGTCTTTATCAGCATTAGAAAATTACAAATACATTTGAGAATAATATTAATATAATATAGTCAGCTCTAAATTTATAAAAAAACTAGCTGATCCCGTACACTTCGTTGCCCGTTAAATGTATCAACTCTATATTACTCAAACTTTGTTCAATTCGTTATTTAATATTCGGTGTACGGTGTTCAAAATTTATCTTAACTTTTCCGTTGCCCAGAATAAAAATTCTGAATCGCAGCAGTAAATTATCAGGTAGGCAATATACCTGCGGTAGATCGCGGACCCCGTTCTGTATGTACGTAAGTGTACTCTAAAGTAATTCAATTCTAAAGTATCAAAGTTATACCAATTTGTCGGTTTTAATTAATTACACCTACGTTTGATTAAAATAATCGATTTATTTAATCCCATTAAACATAATTTATATTTCAAAAGTAAAGCAAATTTATTTTTTTTTCTATTATTATTATTACTATAATAGCTTAAAACCACATGGCAACCATTTATAAACAAAAATTTCCATCTGAAATCTCAAAATTCCCGATTGAGCACCTCCCGGGGTTGGTCCTCTCCCTTTTTAAATTAGCCTATGTTTTAAGTTGGACCAAAATACACACAGTGTAAAAATTTCATCAAGATCGGTCCAGTAGTTTTTACGTGAAAGAGTAACAAAGTCACAAACTTTCGCATTTATAATATTAATAGGATATATTGACAAAAAACAATAATACAAATCAACAAACATGCCCGTTTAACCAATAGCAACCAATAAAATATAATACACTGTTGCGCCACTGTTCTTTTTTTACATCCAGATTTCCTACTTTTCCGGTAGATTTTCCTAAAATTTTCTTTAGTAAAAACCTTCTTCTGGCAATTACGAACATCTTAAAAAAAATTTAAGCCAAATTGGTCCAGGCGTTGTTGAGTTATGCGCTTATCAACACATTTTGCGATTCATTTTTATATTATAGATAATAATAATAAAAAAATAAAATGCTCGATAATTTTCGGACGTTTATAAATTAATTTTTATGCAACAAAATAATAATATACTTACTTACAAAAGTCTTTGGCATATTAAATTCACCTGATTAAATTAGTAAATGCATAAATTGTATACAATAATGAATAAATTAATAATTTTTCAAATACCTACATGGAACTCTGGTATCAAGCTCTTGATACTCATTACGAGTACTTGGTACTCATTGCAAGTACTTGGTACTCATTGCAAGTACTTGTTACTCGTTGCCATTAACAGTATATATATTAAAAAATGTTCAAGCTAAATTTACGAGTCTTAGAAACATAGATAGAAAACTATGAGATAAATCTTTTGGTGAAAGAACATTTTTTTTTGTATTAATTTAATGTCAAACGGATGGTTCAAATTTCGAACCGAACTGGATATTAGGTGTTTAACTTGGTTCTAAAACCTTAATGTGGTACAAACTATAATATTGAACTTTTGATAGTTAATTAACTATACCCATAAGGTTGAGAGTTTCGACCTTGGGGTCCCAGGGTAGCGCACATGTAAATATATTATAATAATACACGTGGTGTATATTATATAGCCAACTACTCTGCAGAGACGTGTTCAGGAATTTCTCTTGCTAATTTTCCACGCCACCCCGGGTATATTATTTATATATTTCTTTTCGTTTTTAAATTTTTTTCCCTTCAGAATAATCTCACGAAATCCGCTGCTGCTGCAGGCGTACATCCACCACAATTCCCTTGCATGGTATATATAGGTATAGGTACCAGCTAGCACGATAACAATAATATATTCATGTTATCATGTTGTTCGCTCTGCACGTTATTGCGCGGTGTACAATTTAAAATTTCCAAATACGTTTTGCATAATATTATAACTTTATTATTATATCATAATAATATATAGGTGGGTCTATATATATATATATATGCGATGGAAAAATATGTCCAACGTTCCCTACACGTCGTGTAGTGTGCCGTCGTCGTATAAGGCGTAGGTATATTCAGTCAGGTACACATATATAGTAATAATATATAACAGAGAATGATATAGAGTAATATGTGTTTATGAATTATGATGTGTATAAAATGGTGTGCGTGGCTTATTATCGTTGTACACGATATGTAATATTATTATATACGCTTTCTAAAAACGCGACGAAATATTTATAGGGCGAGAAAGTCCGTTTTTCTGCTA